ATATTGAACCCACCCCTTCGATTCCCCCAAGGTCCGCCTCTAAAGCCGCGTTTGCAAGAAGTCGCCCCGCGGGCCCACTTTTTGCACCAAGATTCCAGCACCAGGATAGCCCTAAGTCAGTTGCTTTGGGTACATGCTGGGGTCAAAACACCACGTTTGTGAATCCCACACTGTTCTACACATGTACACACCAGAATCAACCCCATCCGCGTTGCAACAATGTGCTGCCCCCAGTTACACGTTGCCTCGCAAACCCCATAACCTGATATTTATACATATATCTAACTATATGTATGTATTATATATATATATATGTCTGTGTGTCTGTGTGTGTGTGTCGTGTCCCCCCTCCCTGAAACCTACCTTTTTGGTACCCGCCCTCGAGTCCAAGCCCAGAAGACTTTTTTCGATATCCGCCCCAACTCCACCCACGTCCGTCCGCAGCGGATATGCCTCGTTCCCTTGCTCTCTTCTCCTGTTCCAACCCACGCCTACCTTTCGATCTTTCACCCTTCCCTCTCAAGTGAGGAATTGCCAACATGAGGACTTCCCATGATGAAACCAGAGGCTATCCCAACCGACTTACCCCGAAATTACATCCTTTTACTAGCTATAGCTATAGGCTATAGATAGCTATATCCAAAAAGCTCCGTTTTTTTTCCATCATCCCGAAATATTTCTAAATGGCCTATTTCAGTAGAAATATTCCTATTTCCATCATCCAGGGCTTTTTTGGTATCGGAAATGATCCGAATTACCCTCTGGTAAACTAACATAACTATGGAAAATCACCATTTTTTATGGGAAAATCCACTATTTCTATGGTGATTTTCAATAGCTTTCTGTTAAATTACCAGAGGGTATTTCTACTGCCCATGGCCATCCCGTGGCAACGCCCAGGACTCATTTCCTACTCCGCTGTCGTGGAGCCGGACGCGCTGCGGCGCGCGGCAGCCCTGAAGGCGCTTGATGGACAGGGAGCACCAGCCAGGAGCTCCAAGCTGTTCCACGCTGTTCCAAGCTGTCAGCAGTGGTTGTTTCATGTTTCCAGACAGTGGTTCATAGGATTTATAAAGAATCCCTACAATTATATACATATATATATATATGGTCGGTGCCGGAATTATAGAACGGAAGTTGAGGAGTACGAAGGTACGGTTATTTACCGTACCCTGTTGTTCTATAATTCATTATAATTCTGTTTTCCTCGGAAGGTGTGAAAAAAAAACGTATCTGAATTTACTCCTAACTTTTTTCGTCGTTCTATAATTCTTGTCGGAGCGCTGCTGTTCTATAATTCTGTTTTCCCCCATTTTTCTCACATTTCCCATTTTCGTTCTATAATTAATGTTTCCCGGGCCCCGTTCTAAAATTAATTTTTCCGTCGAACGGAAAAAAAAATTATAGAACGGAAAAATTAATTATAGAATTATAGAACCTCTTCCGGGGTCCCAGAAAGAGCTGAGCAAACTGCCTTTTTTCCATCCCCTCAAGACTTGTATTGTAGCAGATCGTCCCGTATTTAAATCCTGATTAGATCCTCATTTTATTTTACATTTTATCCTTATTTTATCCTCATTTCCTCATCAAATCCTCATTTTATCTTCATTTTATCTTTATTTTATCCTCATTTTCTCATCAAATCCTCATTAAATTCTGATTAAATCCTCATTTTATTTTCATTTTATCTTTATTTTATCATCATTTCCTCATCAAATCCTCATTTTATCTTCATTTTATCTTTATTTTATCCTCATTTTATCCGGGGTAATTTAATTATAGAACGGGGAAATTTAATTATAGAACGGGGAACTTTAATTATAGAACGGATCCCCGTTCTATAATTAAATTTCCCGACTCCGCGCGGAATCGGAACCCGGAGGAGTACAAAGGTACGGTATTTTACCGTACTTTTGTACTCCGGGCTCCGTTCTATAATTCTGGCACCACCTGTATATATATATATATATCTATTAATTGATGTTATGGAAACTGTTAATGTTGTTAATAGTTAACATTTCATACAAATCGTAACCGCTTGGTGTTTCATTTTTTTTTCGACAGCAAAATGGGGATGATGATCCCAGCATTTTTTCCATAATCATTTACCATGTACTGTATATAACATGAAATATAACCTTGGTGTATCTATCATCTAATAGAATCCTAATCAGCATTTATCCTAATATTAATATTAATATATATATATATATGTATATATATGTATTATCACCTGTCACTATCTACCATCTATCATTTGTCATGACCTATCATGACCTTTCCATTGCATCATCTTCCATCATCTCTCTTGCTTTGAGGCATTTGTCACACGATGTCCTTATCGAGCATTATTTGCTATGATTTTTCATCTCCTAACATCAAATACAGTATCATTATCATTTTCAGCCATCTCTCATTCTCTTTTATCATTTGTTCATATGTCATTGTCTATGATCATCTTGAGCGATCCATCTTTACTTATCATCACTTTTATCATCATTCACTGTCGCTGTCCTTAACCAACTACCACCCGTCAGTCTTAATCTTTCACTGCCTGTCATCATCTACAGTATCACCGCCTGTCACGTATCAACATTCGTCATATTTTTTGCGGTCCATATGTGTCACATATCACATTTTTTTCCTCATAGCCTATCAACATGTGTCACTATTTGTCATTATCTATCATCACTTTTGTTTGTTTACCATCGCCCGTCTGCATGTGCCATATCATGAAATCAATCATCTTTCGTCACTGAGTGGCCGAGCATCACTGTATCATCACCGTATCAAAGTGTCATCACCTATGATTTCTCACAGTATAGATGATCATAGTATAGATAGTCTGTATATGATGTGATGATCATATAATGTCTATCATAGTATAGATGATCAACTACCAATATCCATCAGCACCTATCTAATCTATCGGCATCCATCATCATTGAGGATCATCTGTCACCACCTGCATTAAATATGTCATCTATCATCACCTATCATTCTTTACCGTCATCATGGTCGGTCCTTCTTTGTCATTACCGTCGTCGTGAATACGGATGAATCTCTAGCATCAGGTGTCACCATTTTTTTCGTTGGTGAAATCCCATGACATCAGCATAGAATTGGTTGCTCAAATCATCTCAAATCACCATGAGTCGTCACCATTTCTGTGATCATACCCTTCAAGGCGAATGTAGGTATCTAGATGTATCCAATCTTCTTGCTGAAAACCACTGGTGCCATTTCTTCCAATCACCAATGGACCAACGCCGCTTGAAAACAGTTGGCGTGGTCACTTGAGAACCCAATATGCGCTTTAGATGGTTTTCAAAGTAGCTTCCAGGATTTTTCCAGAAAATGGATATGTAAATTTTTGTAAATGGCCTTTCGAAGTTTCGATCTTTTTGGGGTATCACACCCAACTTTGCTGGGATTGATGATCTACGGATGTTCATCCCTTCGGCATTCGTGGGCTGAGGAGCTTTGCCACGCTGATGGAGGCGATTGAGGCCTCCAATAATGGCCCAAATGGCCCCAAGGTCCACGATCAAACCAACAAGATGATGATTGGGATATACCCTCTGGTAAACATACAAAAAGCTATGGAAAATCACCATGCTTTTTTGATGGGAAAACTCACTATCAATGGGCATTTTCAATAGCTATGGATCGCCACGGAAGCCATGGATCGCCCATTAGATGATGGATTTACCGTAATTATCTCAATGGTGATTTTCCATAGCTACGTTGAATAACCGGAGGGTGTGTATATATATGTGTGTGTATAATTATATAATATTATCTCTCTCTCTATATGTATATATATATATGCACATGTAATTGGATCATAACCAACAATTATATGTGTGTGTATAATTATATAATATTATCTCTCTCTATATATATACATATGCACATGTAATTGGATCATAACCAACAATTATATGTGTGTGTGTATAATTATATAATATTATTTCTCTCTCTCTCTATATATATATGCACATGTAATTGGATCATAACCAACAATTATATATGTGTGTGTGTATAATTATATAATATTATCTCTCTCTCTCTATATATATATTTATATGCACATGTAATTGGATCATAACCAACAATTATATGTGTGTGTGTAATTATATAATATTATCTCTCTCTCTCTATATATATATTTATATGCACATGTAATTGGATCATAACCAACAATTATATGTGTGTGTGTATAATTATATAATATTATCTCTCTCTCTATATATATGCACATGTAATTGGATCATAACCAACAATTATATGTGTGTGTATAATTATATAATATTATCTCTCTCTATATATATACATATGCACATGTAATTGGATCATAACCAACAATTATATGTGTGTGTATAATTATATAATATTATTTCTCTCTCTCTCTCTCTCTATATATATATGCACATGTAATTGGATCATAACCAACAATTATATGTGTGTGTATAATTATATAATATTATCTCTCTCTCTATATATATGCACATGTAATTGGATCATAACCAACAATTATATGTGTGTGTGTATAATTATATAATATTATCTCTCTCTCTCTCGATATATATGCACATGTAATTGGATCATAACCAACAATTATATGTGTGTGTATAATTATATAATATTATCTCTCTCTCTCTATATATATATGCATATGTAATTGGATCATAACTCATAACCAACAATATGATTGATGTGGCTATGGCATCTATGGAGCAATACCTTTAGCTAGCCTTTTTTTGGAGGAACATCCATAAATCCCAACTATTTTCATGTGAGCAGCAGGTTGCCAGCGTTTTGGCCCACCATTATTTACTTATACGTTTATATATCAATAAGTTAGTCTATAAGTCTATAAGTATAAAGGAGTGGATAGATGTATTGCATGTATGATCTAAGTATACATACGCGGATAGACATATACTCTTGTTTACTAAGGCGGTTTCTGAGTTTCGGGGAACATATCTGATCCCGATAAAAATTTCGTGCGTCCTGGGACTGGGACATCTAACCAGAGGATTTCACCAAGAGGGGGTACTTGCTGCATGTTTTCCCGGCGATTTCTGGCGTGCCATGTTTGCGGCCATAGGGATAGTTTTGAGAGCCAAGCCAAATCATGTGGCTTCACTGGGGCTACAACATGACGACATCAATAATTTTCCGAGCAGAATGGACAGAAATGGGAATTTCCTAGACTGTCGGTAGCCCCAGTTATCATCCATCTATTAATAGATATTAATAGGTTTTTCCATGACATGAGCCCTCCAATTTTTCGGGATCCCATGACCCAGGCCGATCCTGACAGAACTTTGTTTGAAGCAGTGGCCTCTCAGACCGCAAGGAGGCGCGTGAGCCTACGGCAGCCAGACTCGAAGTCACCGTGGGCTCGGCTCTGCTTAGGACATCATGGTGCCCAACGTTGGCAACCTCCATGAGCACGTGGCGCGCGAGGCGCAAAATGCTGGGCGCCATGTTCTTTTGGAAAAACCCATCTCAGCAACTTGATATAACTTGATGGGACCGGGCTTTTTGGTGGTTCTTTTTGGTATTATAAGCTCAATCATCAACGTAATATTTGGGGATGGTTTCAGTCCGACCATTTCTTAGTGATTTGCTGAGCTTGACAAGTGATCCGGTTTTCATGGATTCATGATCCCTTGTTTCAACTGCTGTGACATACACCCCAAAAACATGGAATTGGCAGTGCAGCATGTAAACTATTGTAAACTTAACATCCCGTATTTGATTGACGCATGTGATGTTGACTATCACTATTTATCATTTAGTATTCTCTCTTATGATAGTCATCGCTATCAAATTGTTATCCTTAGGTCCTTATTGCTACTACTCCTAAGTACTCTGCCACATTTATATATATAGTACTACTCCTATTGTCTAGTTCTAGCTATCTATTGATAAAACACTTAATATTGCCATGTTATTATTATTATTATTGTTAGTATATTATATGTTATTATATTATATTATGTTATGTTATATTATATTATATTATATTATATTATATTATATTATATCATCATCATCATCATTATCATTATTTATCATCATTTATTTATTTCTATCCAATCAAACAATTTATTTATCTGTCAATCAGTCAATCAACCAACCAATAAATCAACCAGTTTCTGTACTACTTCTGGTACTTTTTTTCCATCGGAATTTTCCAGTTCAATGGGAATTTCAGGATCCTAAAATGGAGGTACTGTACCATATAAGGCCATATTTTCTGGGGATATTCCCTTACATAGGCCTTACATAGGCCTTATATATGGTAGGTACCTCCAATTTAGGAACCTGAAATGGCCAGCGACCAGTGTCCCAGCGGGTCCCAGCCATTTCTTCAAGGTTTGCATCGCCTCTGGCGAGCGTATCTTGCAAGCCCAGCCGCCGGAGAAAGTGCTGATGGTCGCCGAGAATGCCCAGTACTGGCGCGAGGTGCTGCTGGTGCAGCGGCTCATCCACCAGGGCCAGTTGGGTGACCTTCTAAGTGTCCGAGCCACCTGACGATACCTGACCTGGGATGGGACCTGGGATGGGACCTGGGATGGGATGATGTGGCTGGATAGGGATTGATGTCATATGATTTCATGATGCGGCTGGATTCCGACTGGAGAACAGCATATGGCATAGATTGGCATAGCATGTAACTTGACGAAAAAACATCATGCCAGTCGGAAAGCCACGAAGATGTGGCTGAAACCATCAAACTTGGAACAGCAAATCAAGTTTGGGATTCGTTGCCAATTGTAAGCTTTGGTTTCTTTTTGATTGAACGCATCTCCATTGCAGAGTAACTGATGTTGGCTGGTGGAAAACATGTCTGAAACCAGCAGCAACATTTAGCCTGCCGGAAGCTGCCTGCAAGGCCAAATGTTGGGAGAGCGCCCATCCTGCCCTCAATGAATGGGCAGCTGATGGCTCTTATGATGCAGGCAGCTTTATCGCAGATGCGGCTGAGGGATTTGTCTTTGATTCGGGCTTGCACTGGTTGCGGCCACTTCGGATGTTCTTGGGCAAGGCCGCATGTTTGGGTAAGGCGGATCTTGCTGAGAACATGTGTTTTTTTTCCTTCTCTATCATTAATTATATTGATGTCCATCCTTTAAAATGATGATGGTTTTGATCCTTGTCATTACCTCACTTTGTGGGGATGGTTGAACATATTTGAACCAGCCCGGCTCCCAACTGCTGCCGGAACGCAGGCGGTTCGCGTTTCGGCTGTGGCGGGCCGAAGCCTCCTGCAGATGCGCGGCCCCAGCATGACGCAGGCCCTGATTTGCTTCGAGAGTGGCGTAACGGCCATCTTCGAAGCAATCTTGGCTCCGGGCACCTTGACACACGTCGAAAACACCGAAGGAATCTGGATTCAACCCCTGGGTATATTCCCAGAGGTCCCTAAAAATGGTGGGAATATGTGGGAATTTCCATGACAGCTGGTTAAATATTCGCCTCTAAAAACACTGAGGCTGTGATGAATCCAGGAATGACATGACATGGCGCCGGTTTGGTTTCAGCATTGGGCTGTGGGACTCTTGGCGATTTTTGGTACAAGGTGCAATCTCTGAGCAGCCATTCTTCTGCATTCAGGGCACCAAGGCCGAAGTCCAGTGTCCTGGCCGAAGAGTCGAAGAGTCAGCGGGGTGGATATCAGATTGAGATACTTTAGGCGGTGAAAACATGAAAATATGGGAACCAATTCATTGAAACCAGGGGCCGCAACTTCCCGGAAGTCCTTGTGTCCTCGCTTCCCCAGGATCGATGGATTTGCCGGTGGTGCCAGGCTCTTCACTATCCAAGATGGGAAAATGATAGAGGAGGCGCCTCAAGTTTTTTTGGACGGGATAGCCCAGGGCCCAGGGGGCAGGAAGCGAATTGAAAGTCTTTGAAACTAGATTTGGGACCATGGGTTACCAACTGAATCTGATCGCCCCCAAAAATCACCATCCTCATTGTTCACGTAAATAAACAGCGACGGTCCCGGGGATTCACCATTCTTTGCCTAAGATTTCACGTGCTGTCTTCACCTCCAAGACATATGAGAATCCCATAGAATCCCTGTGAAACGGGTGGATTCTTAACCCTGGATGCTGCCAAACTAAGGATCTCAACGGGGAGTTTTCTGGAGCTATTGGATGGGACACCGGCTACGCTGGAGCCTGCCGATAGGGGTTGATGATGGTTGATAGGGACCGGCCGAAAATGGGAACACACACACACAGAGGATGTACCCTCTGGTAATTTAACATAGCTATGGAAAATCACCATTATTCATGGGTAAATCCACTATAAATGGCCATTTTCAATAGCTATGTTAAATTACCAGAGGGTAATTCATCGGTGAGTCTGGGGTGGTGATTTGAGACATTTTCATCCAGGGAATCCAGGTCCAAAGAGTGATGGGCCCATCAGCCAGAAATGGGATCTATCAAATAATGCATCAGATGTCAACCACCTTTTCGGGCCATTCGGGCCATCCGGGCTATTTAAGATGTTATTTGCCACTTGAGTTGAGTGGGGCCTGGGGCCAATGGTAACTGGTAGGGTCTGATCATAGGGATACCAGGGACACTTGCTTTCGACATTAGCTACCGTTTTTTGATTGTTGAAGAACTCATCTTCCATTTTGATGCATTTTGTTGGTGAACATTCCAAGAAAACATACCTCTTGATCCTTTTGAGCAGCCCAGGGTAGCATTTCTCGCTCTGCCAGGAGAAATGTTGGACTTCGCACAGGCTGTTCTGCACCAGAAGACGCCAGAAGCAGGAGCCGCTGAGGCATTGGAAGACCTCAGATGCTTGGCGCAGCACTGAGGTTTTGGTCAAACTTGGTGTTTTTGGGAGGCGACAAAAATGTCCCCCAAAGATGGACCAGTCAGGGGCCCCACTATTTCATGACCATATTTACCTCAACATCTTTTCGAGTGTATTTTCACGCGACCTGGGGCCGGTGCCTTTTTTCATTTCAGGGCTCATGCTGGCATTGATGAAGGCAGCGAAGTCGGGCCAGTGGGAAGATGTGGACCAGGTGGATTCGTTGTTATCGATGGAAGCGCTTCAGCTGGAACTGTGACAAAGATTCGCCGCTGGGCCGGGCTTTGGGGCCGGATGGACCGACTTTTAACTTTTTAGGATGCACACAGAGAGAAGCTTTCTGGGTCTCTTGGAAATAGCAATTAATATCATTAAATATATATGATGTCCACCTCAGTAATATCATCCCCTCAACCATACTTGGGCTACGGGTACATAATTACAATGTTGAGGCCAAACATATTCTTGGGGACTTTGGACATTAAGTCTTGCGGAACAAATTGCCCAATTGAAAACGAATATATACATAAAGTGTTTTTTGTTTTCGGGCATTTTTGTGTTGCCGAACAAATTGCCAAACTAAAGAGAATACATATATAATGGGGAAACTTTCGCGTTTTAATACCAACAAACAGCTGTTGGTGTACTTTATTTTGGGGTGTTTTTATTTTTTCTTATTGTGTACCGGGATTTGGCGTACTTTATTGTGATCGGGATTGCTTATATAATGTCGGTATTATAGTTCCTGATTATTGGGTTGCTAAGGGAATTTGAAAATGCCAGGGCGTCGTATTCTCACTGAGTCACTCGTTTGTAGGAATCCCAGCATTCCGCTGACACGCCATTGAAGCGTTGAGTGTTCAGAAGCATTGCTTTGCAGTTGCAGGGTCTGTGTGAAGTCTGGTGTTTCTTAGATTCCTGGCTCAAGACGGTGAGTTGGCACAGCACAAGCACAGCGCCGAAACGGGAAGCACGCAACCATGGTCGAGATGCAGCCGGGAATTTGTAAAATGGAGTCACGAGGATGCAGATGGTCCGGTGATGGTCCAAACATGGGTTATTTTCCCCTGAAAGGGGATGGTCATATCCACTAGGCCTGGAGTTTCTACAGTATTGACCCTTATAATAAGGAATCCATAAGAATAGTTGGATGACCCTACCCCATATATCATGTTGTGACCATGACACCTGTGTACACGCATACACGCTGGTATATACTGTATACATGTATACACATAATATAAATAAACACACACGCTCACACGCACCTATACAATCCTATTATATAGAATCTTAATATGTGTGTTTGTGCGTGTGTATGCTTATATGTGCAGCAATGCATAATGGTGCATAATTAGTTTTATTTACATGCCACTACATGCACAGTATAATGTGTATATATCACATACACATACGTATGAGATTATGAGCTCGTCTCTCTCCTCTCTGTCTTCGTCTAGATGGAAGAAAAAAACATGCAGCTGCAAAAAGCAGCTGCAGAGGTAGCCTGAGAAAGGCAGGGCATGTTCTTTTTTTTTGATCGGATCATGAATCCTCAACAGGTTTTCTTTGGCAATTTTCATTGCCATTATACTGGAATATCATATAGTAATAATATAATACAATTTATTTTTATTACAATATAATATAATACAACATAATATAATATAATACAATATATATTATATTATATTATATTATACTATATTATATTATATCATATTATATTATATTATAATAGAATCCTCACCTATAGACTATAGACTAATATTACATTATGTTGTTTTCTTTTATCATGAATATAATATCATAAACAGTACATTCCATGATATCATGAATCGTATTTTTTTTTTAATATCATGAATATTAGATTACTATAGTGATATAACTTATTAGAATCACTATATTATAATATAACTATTAGAATTACTTATTAGTAATTACTATAGTGATATAACTATATTAATATTAGATTACTATTAGATTACTATTATAATATCATAAATCCTCACCCAGTCCCTGTTTAAGCCATGGCCATGGCCCGGGCCATGCCGGATCTCAGGTTCGCCATGGGATCCCATGGCCTCTCATGGCGTGCCGGGTCGACGGAGGTGGAACGGGTCTCGTGCCAAGCGCGTTTGCTCGGGGTCAAACCAGGCTGGAGCATCAGCATCTCAGATGGAAAATGATGAAATTTGCCAATATTTGCCACGATCCATCTGGGTATCTTACCCAACCTGGTTATGACTAACATAGCCGTGGTATAGATGGCCCATTTATAGATGACTCAGATGGAAAATGATGAAATTTGCCATCCATCAGGGTATCACTAGGTATCACATGGTATCACTGGGTATCTTACCCAACCTGGTTATGACTAACACTTCGCCATGGTATAAGTAGATGGCCCATATCACTATGATTACCCAAGCTGGTTATGACTAAGAGTTCGCCATGGTATAAGTAGATGGCCCGTATCACTATGATTACCCAACCTTGTTATGACTAACAGTTCGCCATGGTTTTTAGATGGCCCTAATCGAAATAGATGGTTTACCTATTAATAGCATGGTGATTTTCCATGGCTATGTTAAATAACCAGATGGTAATATATATATATATATATTGTGATCGAACTCCACCATGATTTCCTACCACTTGCAATATGTTCTGGTATAAGGATTTTCTTTGTTGTTTCTTTCGTTTTCATTTCGTCAGAATTTCGTCAGACTTTTCGTCGGGTGCTTTGTGGCAAAACGTTTTGCCACAAGATTTTGCCACAAATTCTTTCGTCAGAATTTCGTTAAGATTTCGTCAGAACTTGAATTGAAGCAACGAAATCTTTGACGAAATTTCAACGATTTTTTTTTGTGGCAAAATGTTGTGGCAAAACGTTTTGCCACAAGGTTTTTGATCAAAAAAAATCGTTGAAATTTCGTCAAAGATTTCGTTACTTCAACTCAAGTTTGACGAAATTTGAACGATTTTTTTGACAAAATTTTGACGAAATTTTGACGTTTTTTTTTGTGGCAAAATGTTGTGGCAAAACGTTTTGCCACAAGGAAAATTTTGTCAAAACCCTGCATTTTGACGAAATTTTCCTTGTGGCAAAACGTTTTGCCACAACATTTTGCCACAAAAAAAATTCGTCAAAATTTCGTCAAAAAATTCGTTCAAATTTCGTCAAACTTGAGTTGAGGTAATGAAATCTTTGACGAAATTTCAACGATTTTTTTTGATCAAAAGTATTGTGGCAAAACGTTTTGCCACAACATTTTGCCACAAAAAAAATCGTCGAAATTTCGTCCAAAACTTCGTTGAAATTTCGTCAAACTTGAGTTGAAGCAACGAAATCTTTGACAAAATTTCAACGAAATTCTCACGATCATTTTTTGTGGCAAAAGGTGTGGCAAAATGGATTGCCACAAGGATTGCCACGAAATCTTCAACGAAAGCTTTAACGAACTCTCAACGACCGACTGACGTTATACCATTCCTATTGCAAATCATGAGCAGCACCAACACAATATATATATATGTGTTTTTTTTGGGTATAAGGTCTATTGATACTATAGAAGTTTAAATTAAATGTATAAGGTATTATAAGGTATAATATTGATACTATAGATGATAGGTGTTTTTTTGAACAAAGATAAAGATTGTTTGGATTACTCATCTATTCATTCACTCATTCTTTTAAACCAATTCCAACCGTTCATTTACATTTCTTTATCTTATGAAGGTGCTAGAGCTGCTACCAGTAGGGTTCATGATGACCGCTGGGGAGGCAGCCGAATTCACCCACTGAAAGAGTAGTTTTATGAAAATCTTACCAGCAAACTCTGAGGGTTGTTGGTTATTTATTTTTGTCATTTTTTTGTCATTTTTTTGTCATTTGGTTTTGCATTTTTTTGTCATTCCTGTTTTGTGGTGTCATTTTTTTGTCATTTTTTTGTCATTTGTTAAGTCATTTTTTTGTCATTTGTTAAGTCATTTTTTTGTCATTTTCTTGTCATTTTTTTGTCGTTTTCTTGTCGTTTTCTACTTTCTAGCATTGTTCATTTTCTTGTCGTTTTCTCATAAGGATCAGGCAAGCGGTGAAGGTGGCAAACCCGGTCTAGGAAATGCAAAAAATTGCAAAAAATGACTCCCGATTTGGGAAATGCAAAACAAATGCCAAAAAAATGACTCCCAGTCTGGGAAATGCAAAAAAAATGCAAAAAAAATGACTCCTAGTCTGGGAAATGCAAAAACAATGCAAAAAAATGCAAAAAAAATGCGAAAAAAATGCAAAAAAAATGCAAAAAAATGCAAAAAAAATGCAAAAAAAAATGCGAAAAAAATGACTCGCGTGCTGGTAAAGTTGCGTTTTTGGAGTTTCCAGGTCGGCCCCGCTTCTCGGGCCTGAGCCGCCCCCCCGGGCCATTTCACCCCGGCCCCGCCCCCCCACCCGGTTTTTGAGCCGGCCCTGCACCCCGAGCCGGGAGACAACTCCTCGTCCAGGCAGGCCCAAAAACGAATTCCCCAGGGCAAGCTCCCCTGCCCTATCCTTCTTCACCGCCGGCTGGCTTTCCAAGAGTTTCTCCACTTGTTCCTTGTATTTGGTGCTGCCACGAGATAACAAAAGGTCTGTCATGGTAGTCATTTTAAAACAATGTTTTTTCTCCATTTTCCCGTTCCCAAAATGACAATAAAATGACAATAAAATGACAAACAAATGACAAAAAAATGACACAGAAATGACAAAGAAATGACAAAGAAATGACAAAAAAATGACAAACAAATGACAACACAAATCCAAAATGACAAACCCAAATGCAAAAAAAATGCAACAAAAATGCAAAAAAATGACAAAATAATTATTTTGGAATTTCCAATGTTTGCAGGCCCAAGATTTTCCTAAGAGTAGTTGAATCAGGGCGCATACGCACACAAACACAGCACACAGCACACAGATACTTACATACATAATACATACATGCATGCATGCATGCATGCATACATCCATCCATACATACATACATACATCCATACATACAGTGCAGTGCAGTACAGTACAGTACAATAGAATCCAATACAATACAAATACCAAACCAATACAATACAAATACCAAACCAATACAAATACCAATACCATTACCATACAGTACAATACAACACAACACAATACAATACATACACACATACGCACACACACACACACTTCAAAAACAGTATGCATAAGATTTCTTTCATGTATATATATTTATATATATATACAGATGTACGTATATACAGACATGTGTAGCATATGATTTCTCATCCAGGATAGTAACCTTTGGTGATACGGCCTGGTGCGTCACTGAGGCATGATCGATGGTGTTCCGATCGAAACCAGCTACCAAGCATGGAATGAGCTCATGAGATGCAAGAAGAGCGGCAAGAAGTACCAGGTGAGGGAGGGCCGGAGGGCCTAGTACCCGCGTGAAGAGCTTTGGTGGATGGTGAAACTGCGTATCCAAGATTTCTTCCTTGAACACCTAAGACATTATACCGATATTTACCGATATACCACCCATTTTTCCGAGGTTTTCCGCTTTTTTCCCACTGGTATTAGCCTAATCTTAGACATGAAAAATGGCCGCGCCCATGGGCCCCGCCCATGAGGGCCAGGGGATGATCCCTGAGATTTTTTGGCTTTGGATGGTTATTGGATGTTACCCTCTGGTAATTTAACATAGCTATTGAAAATCACCATTTATAGTGGTTTTTCCCATTGAAAATGGTGATTTTCCATAGTTATGTTAGTTTACCAGAGGGTAATGGTTGTTGATGGTTGTTTTTTGGGTCACTGACTACTGAAAACAAAACTGAAAATCATGTCGTGATTTAATTGTGTACAATAGCTTTGGGTAGGCCACTTGATAGGTATGACCATGGTGAAAATTTTGTGGTTCATGACAATAATCATGATTCATTCCCATGAATTACCACCCCAAAGGACGATTATCATTCTTCTCCGTGTGAAAGTTTGTTTGTTTTGGGGTGTAGCTGCTTCGGACAAACCACAACAATTCTTAATAATAGTAAAAGATGGTTCCTTACGTGGGAAGATCCCAATTAGCAAGTGGGTTAATAATCATAGTAGAGCTCAGGTGTTTATATATATATATACAATTATATACATATGCATATGTCAATATATACATATGTATACATATACATATACATATATGTGTGTGTGTGTGTGGGGTATATGAGGTCTATAAACCGCACATCCCCCCAGCTGTTTTGATGGCTCTGTGGCTCGATCGGTCCATGACATCACCATTTTTATGGGTGGTTTATGACATGGCCCACATGGCTTTCCTAACATCAGTACACATTTAGTTGATTTACCTATTTAAAGGTGGTGGTTTTGTGATGTTTTGCTGCAAAAAAACATCAAACAACTGGGGGCCATCTGGGACTTTCCGTGGCAGGTCTATTTCACCAAAGATGAGGCCTCCATCCGCGACGACCAGGCCAGGGCAGAGGCCGAACGCGCTCGGAAGGCCAAGCAGGACAGGCGATGGAGGGTCCTCCGTTGAGGCTGTCATCCATGGATCAATGGAGTTTCCAATTTGAGGGTTTCAATGGATCAATGGATCAGTGGAGTCCACGAAATTTGAGGCCACTTTTTTTCCCTTTCTTTGGTGACCCTGTGCAACATTCGATGAATTCGCCCAGCGATGAATTCCCAGGAAGAGGAGCGGAAGAAGCGCGAGGAAATCGAGCGCAAGATCCGCGAGGAAGCTGAGAAGAAGCGCGCCGACGAGATCGCCTCTAAGAAGCAGGTCCTGCTAATGGAAGCAGCATTAAACAGTGCTGTTGATGGGTTGTTTAATGGGAATTTAACCATATTTAACCATTTAAATTACAGGCTTTAATTAGGGGGACTAACATGGTTTAACATGGTACAAGTATCCAACATATGGGGATATAACATGATATAACCGATGATTTACGTTTGATTGATTGGTTATGGAATGGGAGTTCTACAACCTAGGATAGTGGGGATTATGGACTAACCAATAGGATTGGGACACCTTGTTCAGCCAACTAGTATACTGAGATGGGATAAGGGATTTTTCAATGGTTCAGTTGACCCTGATCCTAATGATAGGTGATGATGAACGTTGGGTGGTTGGTGAGGTTGATGACCCATGTTTTTTTTGATGTTACCCATGTTTTTTTTTGGTATATTTTTTGATGTGGGTTCCCATGTTTCTTGTTACCTGTACTATCTGTAGTGCTATCCACTTTCAGTTGGTTCGATATCATTTCCATTCATCAACATGTCCAAAATCATTTCCAGTAACTGTCAATTGTTGGATATTTTGAAGATGCTCCCATTTTTTCAGTCTGGCATAACTTGTGGAAAAACACAAACACATGTTGCCAAAAAAAAAAGCATACATCCAGCTTCCAAACCGTCTGTTTAGATGGTAAAACCACCCAAAAAGCCCGGGTTTTGACGCGGTGACGCCAGGAGTACTGGGACAAGCAGCAGGCGCAGCAGGAGGCCGAAGTCGCCGAGGGCGTCGCCAATGATAAGGCGCCCATCGAGGCCGCAGTACCCGAGGCCGCAGAGGCGCCAGAGGCGCCAGCGGAGGAAGAGCCACCCGCGGAGGCCTAGAGCCATGGCGATCCGAGCGATTCCTCTTGTTCTTGAATAGTTGGTCCAACTTGAAAAGCTAAGTTTATTTTTTTGATAAATCCATTTAGCATTCTGGGAAAAAAAGGGATTTTGGATGGCATATGGTGTCTGCTTCAGTTTAGATGCCCTTGGTCTGACAACAGTTGCTGGGAAGAACTTTGGATCCGGGGAAGCAGCAGTCGCTGCTCCTCGCCACAGAGGGTCACCGGCATTGCCCATCGTATCACCAGCATGACTTGCACCTTTGTATGGACATGGAGAAAGACTGGGCCTCCTTGTTGCCAGAAAACCGTGTTGCCGCTGGGCTTGCCGCTGTTGCATTGCGAGACCGCTGTTTCTTTGTTGTCATTGTCAGGTTTTGGGGGAGCACCTGGGGAAAACCATGTTTGGGCACACCTTGGTGGTGAAGCGTCGGGTGGAAGGTAGAATTGACCGCAGTTTGAGAACTCATATGCGTCTATATATATATACACATGCAGATTATGCTGTACGTATTTAGCTAATCACATATTTTCAGGGTAATACCTAAAAAACATCTAAAAACGTACGTGCGACCCCAGATCCCCTTTGCAGCACGGGCTCAGTGGTGTTTTTTTTTCTTTGGCGGCTGACCATGGCAAGGGGCCCTGGATGGTGGTGGTGAAAGACCGGATGATCGGATGCCATTATTCTGCTGGCTTTCCAGATGTAGAAACAAACCATTTTGGTAGACCATACCCTCTGGTAAACGTTTACGTAACTAGGGAAAATCACCATTTTTCATGGGTAAATCCACTATAAATGGTCATTTTCAATAGCTATGTTAGTTTACCAGAGGGTACATTTCCACACATTTGTCCGGATGAATCCACCGATTATCTGAGTACAGTATTTTTTGGGATTCGCACATCATCCTTCAAACAGGACGATGTAGGATGGGTATGAGCGGATGTACGCATCGATGCTGCTGGGTTCTAGCTACTGCGGCAGCGCAGAATTTTGCTAGGACCAGACTGCCCAATTTTTGAGGTTCCGTTTGGTAACAGCTTCCCTTCCATGCCGTCTTGCACTGATAGCCATGCCACCTTAGACTACGAAAGGGGGGAGTGCGGGTGAGCTAATTTTATCGGTTACGTTACGACATGTTACGACCATGGTAGTAAACTAGGTCAGTTGGAATATAACCCATAGGATCCATGGTGCTGGTATATATGCTAACATTTGGGGTCTATTGATGGGATCCATGTTACCATATATAGCAGCACCATGGATCCTATGCGTAATGAATATAGCCCCTATGGCCGGCGAAAATTTCTCCAGCGCCGAAGGCTGACCGAAAGTCCAGCGACCTGGAGAGGCCGTGCTGGGGATATGGAGGTTTCCCTTTGTCATGGAGGTATACCAGGTACCCCCCCGCATCCAGTTGTCGTGGATGACGCATCCAGTTGTCATGGTGACGACTGGGGTACCCCCACGACATCCCATGACGGAAAGCTCCACCACGATGTATATCCCAGGAACATACCCCAGCGTCCAACAACCATGATGAACGTTGGTGATGATTTTCAACGTGCTTTGGAATGGCAAAATCATTGACTTTTGGGGCCCGGCGGCCCCGCATGTGTTTCAGAGAATGGTCCATCACAGCCCCCAAAATGGTTGATATCTTCCAACGCTGCTCTGTTCTTATTTCCTTTGAGGCACCAGTTTTTTCAGCCGAGCAAAAAACTGTCCAGGAACGTCGCTGGGCCTTCACCCTCCAAGCAGTCGAAGGGAAAGAAGTCGGTGGTCCTTCAGGAATTGATCCAGGATACGAAGGAGAAAAATGCCGGCATGATCTCCGTCCCTCGCAAGAAATTCCATGTCGGCGGTGCTGGGAATTTGTGCTTCCCATGGGGGAGATAGAAACATATTTTTCCTTTTTTCATGGTTCCAAAATGGTCAAAAGGATTATATAGTTACCGTAGAGTTACCATGGAAGATCCATTTTCATAAAAGTGGCTTTGAAGCCAGATTCCAACCCATCACCCAAAGCCATTCAAACTGGTTGTTGGTCCCACCTATAGTTGTTTTCTTATGGCGTTTTCCCATCCCTTCATCAGGTGGATGCAATGCGAGATCTGCTGGATGACCAGATGGAAGAGATGCATGGCCTCTTCGTGGCCCATTTTCAGAAGAACAAGCGCATGCCGGAAACCCCAAAGTGGAGCCACTGCGACCAGACCCATAGGATCCATGTATGGTATGGTGCTGCTATATATGGTAACATGGATCCCATTAATATACCCCAGTCATGTCAGCATATATATACCAGCACCATGGATCCTATGGGAGAGTTGACTGAGTTACTTCCTGTAAGTTTTCCAAAGGTCGCTGCACCGTTTTCAATCTATGAGGGTCATCAACCGACCACGACATATTTTGGCACGTTTGAGCTGTAGAAATGCGGCGGCCTTGTAGAAAGTCGGACGGCCCTGCAGACCGTTGGTAAATTCCCCCACTTCTGGAATCGTAAAACCAATTCCCCCAAAAGTTCCTCACAACTCATCTACATACCCGGTGAAGCTACTTAAAACATCTTAAAACCAATAAAACCAATTCCCCTAAAAGTTCCCCAAAAAATCGGTTACCGCGTGAAGTTACTTGAAAATCTTCTGGATTGCTTCTGACATGCTACAGATTTCCTAGCCAGCTGCCGAGATGCTGGGCCCGAAAGCATTTTTTTTGACACCTTCGGTGCACTGGTGAACCTCACCAAGGTTGGATAAGCTGGAACAGGATCAGAAGGTGAAAGAGTTTGAGCTGAACACCCTCCGAAACCAGTGGGGTGGCTGAGTCACTGAAGAGTCACTGGATTGGACCCTGGACCAGGAGGGTCTCCCAACTGCGAGCCCGTGATGAGGCTGATGACGCTGGGCAGTCCAAGCAAACAGGCATGGAAGATGAAGGGTTGCACAGTAGGTCTCAGAACAGGCCTCTATCGATGCCTGAAAGAAAACTACAAACGATATCGATATATATATATAATGTATAATATACATATATATATATCATTTGTGTGTGTGTGTCTTTTTTTTGGGTGTTTTTGGAAAATCCCGCGATTTCCTGTAGATGTTCGTTCCGCTTTTTTCAGTCGTGAGTCTTTTCGTCCCCTTTTTCGGCCAGGTGGGCAGAGGAGCTGGACTGGATCGAGCACAACTGGAAACTGTGCATCGACGATTTGGCGCGTGCTTTCCGGAGATGAGTCGATGGGGTTTTCCAATCCATAGATATCCATAGTACACGGGTAGCCCTGTTCATCATCCATTTTATTTTGGAAATGTCCATCATGAACCATCATGAACCACATCGGCAGCTAGTGATGGTAAAACCTGAGGCCAAAAAGTTGCTGGTGCAGCGTGATGCTGTCGCGTGGCAGCAATTGGTTGGACCATGGACATGTTTTGATATTTTTTTGATCACATCTTTGGCATTATTTTTTTGAAGTTTTAGGCATAGCTGTTTCCCCATTTTTTTCTATGCTTGCTGGACTGTTGGATAATCTCATTTTTTGTAACCTAATTTCACCTAATTTCCATGTTTCCAACTGTTTCGTCTTGTTTGGGGGTGGCTATATATCATAGACGTGGAAAATAGAGGAAACCTGTGTTTTCGTAAAAAGGTCCACTGAACTGCTTCATTGTCCATATCTATGTCAATTTTCCTTGGGTTCTATCTGATATATATATATACAGGATGGGGCCCCCAAGTTATAAATTGGTTTACAAACCCCATTAACACCCATTAACTAGTTCGTTGTATCCACCATAAACCATAGAATTCAGCCACTTTTTTCAGGCAACTGAACGCTATCGAACGGGGGCCCCATCCTGTATGTATGTATATATAATATATATATATACCCTCTGGTTATTTAACATAGCCATGGAAAATGGCCCATAGAAATAGATGGTTTACCTGGGTTTTCCTATTAAACATGGTGATTTTCCATGGCTATGTTAATCATAACCAGAGGGTACACACACACACATATATATATATATTATATACCTCCCCCATCATCCCCCGAAATGATGTCATCATTGTCATCCCCAACGAAGCAAGGCATGTCGCCTGGCCGAGCAGGAGAACTTTCAGCTTCGAGAGCAGCTGGCAGCGATGCAGGCAGCCGTAAGCCCCAAAAAGATCCAGAGGTTGAAGTTACCAATATGTTTTTTTAATTTTATTTTACTGTTCTATCTGTATTTTTGGCGGGTTATATATATTATATATGCATGATATGTATATATATATGCATGATATGTATATATGGATTTGCTGAAGATTATATATACACACAATTTTATGTATCTTTGCATTGGTTAACCCACCATGACTAGGGAACGTGCTTCATTTCCCCCTTAAGCAAATTGAAAGTAGAAAACGTACAATGACATGAATATGTGTGTAATAATATGGATTAACATGGTGTGTAGTGCCCACATTCAATCACATGCATATATATATATATACATACACATGCATATGCATATAATTATACATATATACAGTATATAGCACAGTTTTGCACAGAACCCGTGGCAAACTGGAGCAAAACATGTATGTGTATGTGTATGTGTATGTGTATGCGTAGGTGTAGGTGTAGGTGTATGTGTATGTGTATGTGTATGTGTGGTGTATGTTTATTTGATTATATGTTTACATTCCATATTTCATGTTTAATCCTATCATATCGGTGCATACCGAATTTCCCGATCCTAAAGTGGTTGGTTGATTGCAAACATGACAGAAAACCGGTGAAAAGGAGATGAACACATTTTGATGGGTGGTCTGCAAGGGATAAGTCGGATAAGTGCCGTATCTTCAGCTAAGAAAACAAGGATATATAGATGTATGCATACAGTATAAATAAAGAGGAGAAATTACAAGAACCCCATCAATTGCCAGGAAAATGATGGGGCAGAAACCACGGAAAACAATTTTCATTCTTGTAATGAGTGCCCATTGCTCTAGGCAGCGGGCAATCACAGTATGCTGAAGAAATCCGCCGACGGCCAGGGCCCAGTGTTCAAAATCGCTGATTGATGTGATACTACGCATCAGTTACCCTCTGGCAATTTAACATAGCTATTGAAAATTACCATAGAAATAGTGGATTTTCCCATTGAACATTGTAATTTTCCATAGTTATCTAACAATTTACCAGAGGGTATATACCATTGTACCACAAGAAACAAATAGGCGCTTGTCACGATGGGGAATCCTATGGACCCACTGGTCCGACGGAGATGTGCCAAGGAGTCTTTCCGCCAGATCCAGTCTCTCCATTGCCACCCTCCACGGCTGATTCGGTGGGATCGCTGCCTGGGGCTGCCTGGGGCTGGGTGAGGATCGACCCAGTGGGCGATAGCCCAAAACCTCAGCTCCATTCGTCAAACTGCCCAAGGCATTGGCACTTCTAAGCTCCAATTTTCTTGCATCACGTTTTACATCCTTCATATTCTTCATATTCCCATGTTACCACGTCTTGTGGCTGAAATCTCCACAGGTGTCTCCATTTTTTGCTTGAAATTTTCCAAGACTCCAAGATCTGGTTGCTGGCCCTGCAGGGTATTCCCCAATTCATGACAATTTTAAGGGCAAAATCATGGTAACCCCCCGTCCCACAACAAACAACACAGGTGTTGCATCGCATCGAGCGAGCACAGACCGTGCTTCAGACATGGGCCAGCAACCATCATCCGAGCCTTGGAAGCCATGAGTGTGTTGGAAGATTATCCACATTTTTCCACTTAAACCAGCCATGAATCGCAGATGTTTATGGCGGGTAAACCCATGGTCCATTCCATTTTCAGATCATTTCCGAATGGGAAAACCATGGATTTCCCATGGATTTCCCATGGATTTCCCATGGATTTCCATGGCTATGTGAGTGATTCATAGTGATTCCCAAGGAGAATCAAGCTGGCAGAGTACGTGGATTCGGACGACGAAGACATGGACCTGCCCGGAGCAGTACCGACAAACCGGAAAGGCCACCGGGCCAACCTTTGCGGCCACCGCATGGATCGCAAAGGATCATCGTTGTGAGGACTCATGTAATGTCAACCCCGGATTAATAAACCGTTGTTTATTATAATTAAAAATTACTCCCATGCATTCCCCCAATAGTCATGATTTGATTTAAAAAAAAGTAGGGGGTATTCCCCCAATAGCCATTGTCATTTCATTCTGATATTTTAATGGTAGCCTCCCAATTAAACAGCCGTTTGGGGTTTATTAATCCAGGGTTGACATGATACTATTCTATACTGTGTACTCATGTGATATTTGCTGATAGCAACGATCCGCATCAAGAAGCATCAAGTCAGTAGCTTCTGGTTTCAGCGTCAGCGGGCAGGTGAAACCAAGGCCCTCCCAGATGAGAAAGAAGATGAAGAAGAAGAACCCATTGATCCCAAAGCCGAGTGCCCGGTCCCGGTCCCATGTGGTCCAGGGGTCGTCCACGTGGTCCCGATCCAAAACCAGATCCCAAACGTGTTTACGCGGGAGGTACCTCAGACAGAATCAAAAGCAAAGGAAGAAGAAGGCGCTTGGCACGCCTCAGGGCCATTCAGGGCCCATTTTGTACGAAAAAGGCATCGTTTAGCCATGTAGATGAGGACAACCATCTCTGGAAAATTACTTGAAATGGTGGTTAAAAAGTAGTGATTACAGCCCCAAGTGATGTATAGAGTTTTGAGAGGAAATCCAAATCCCACTTCTTCCCAGGAGTTTTGATGACATTTTTGAGCCAACTCACTCCACAGGGGGGGACAATGTATAGCCTCAGTTGGAACATGTGTCCAGCGAGTCCTTAAGGTGGTTGGTACTCTTCCCTGGGCATGGTGCCCTTAAGGCCATTGTGGTGATTCAAGCCAGGCCTTAAACAGCAAGCTTAAAGCCTTGGATATGAAGTCCCGGATGCGCGATGCCTTTGCAGAGCCATCCTACATTGCCACTGCCTCTTGGACCAACAGTTGGCGAATTTCTGGGAGCTTTTGGGACGTGCGAAAAGATGGGTGTTGCAATCAGAAATCAAACATGTCAGGATGTCATAGCAAAACGCAGAGCAAACACACACCAAGAATGAGGATAGAAACATGGGATGGCAGTCTTGACATGGGGGTCATGGATTGGCAGATCCAGCTCGCAGGAGCACTATCACAAGACCGGCTGGGCACAGTACATTGCGAAATCCTACTGGTTTGAACATGGAACTATGCCGCTTTGGCTGCACCCAGTTTCGCCACAGGGTGGCTCTACCCTGGTTGCCGCATGCCACAAAAGGGCAGCCATCCGCCAGGCTGGTGATTCTGCTGAACTCCGTTTGGTTAGGCATTGACTCCACCATCAACAGCCGTGCTCTCTTGTTCGACGCCGTGGGGGGACCTGGGGGACCTGCGTCTTGCAGCAGGGACCAGCGTCTGAGCCGCTAATCTGGGGTACCTTAGTCGCCTGAGGGCCCTGGCATCATCTTCGTTGAGAACCTGCTGTGCTTGATCTTTAGTGTGGAGGCCCCACCGCTGTGGAAAATTGAGCTTCAGATTTTGATCATTTTGATATATTTTGATCGTACACATGAAGACACAAAGGTTGAGGCTCAAAATCGCTTATTTTCCGATACGTTGGCAAATTTTTGCTTGGCAGATTATCATCCGTTTCGTGGCCTTCAAGTCAAAGTTGCAGGCCTTCAAGGACAGCGGGATCACAGAATTTTGAGGTCACAGTATTTGGGTAGGCAATATATGGCAATATTGGAATGTATTTGAGATCCACAAACCACAGATTTGGATAGATTTGGCCGGACTTTGAATTGGCCCCTTTGTTTTTGGGAGGGGTTACCATGGAAAGACCCAAACATCTATCATCTCTTGTGGGGATCCATCAGGCCATCTGGGTGCATATCATGAACCTGGCGCCGAGAGGATTTCTGGTTTGTCTTCGACTTCCTCTTAGCCTTCTTGATGGTTCTCGAAACTTGGGTCATTGCAGTGGCTGCTTGGCAGAGATCGGCAGAGGGCCGAAGGCTTCAGCTTCAAATGCCAATGCCATGGGTCGGAATTCAGGTTCTGATGGTCACCGGCGAGGATTTATTCTTGATCGACACCTCTGTACTCAGGCGGGTTTTTTTCAGGCCAAAAAATGGAATCCTGTTGCCTTGCGAGGGAGAGGTGTGCAAAATAGTGCAAAATAATCAGCAGATATCAGCAAAGAAGCCACAAAAGACCACCACATTGAATCTGGTGCCAGTTGACCAATTGTCACCTTTTTGTTACCCTCTGGTAAACTAACATAGCTAATTTATGAAAATCACCATTTTTAATGGGTAAATCAAATCCACATAAATCCAATATAAATGGCAATTTTCAATAGCTACGTGAAATTACCAGAGGGTATCTTCTATAGGATGTTTTCGAAGTGTGGCCAACTAGGAAGAGCAGTCAC